TCCTAGATAGTTGAGGTTTGTGATCTAGAAGGGGAGGCGGGAGTATGAGCTCTAGATGGGCACATCCCCTTGGCCTAGTGGGGAAAGGTGCAACTTTAAAGTGCAGGGCTCAGGGAGATGGCCCTGTTGCTCTGGTATAATAGCAGTACTACCTGGGCTAAAATCCAAACTCCAATAGAGTGGACATAACCAAATGAGGATGAAGTCTAGAAAGAATTCTTCTTCCCTCCCTTGCCTAAAAACCAAAGATTGAAGTCTTGTAACTCAAGAACTATCAGTATGGAGATTTAGAAAAGGAAATCTTGGGTAAAAATCCTATTAGAAAACAGGACTTGATCAAAATTTAAAACTTTGGTTCTTTGGGGTTTTTTTTAATATAAATGTATTTATTTATTTATCTTTGGCTGTGTTGGGTCTTTGTTGCTGCGCATGGGCTTCCTCTAGTTGCGGGGAGTGGGGGCTACTCTTCGTTGTGGTGCGCAGGCTTCTCATTGTGGTGGCTTCTCTTGTTGCAGAGCATAGGCTCTAGGTGCACAGGCTTCAGTAGTTTTGGCACGTGGGCTCAGTAGTTGTGGCTCACAGGCTCTAGAGCTCAGGCTCCATAGTTGTGGTGCACGGGCTTAGTTGCTCCACAGCATGTGGGATCTTCCTGGGCCAGGGCTCGAACCCGTGTCCCCGGCATTGGCAGGCGGATTCTGAACCACTGCGCCAAGAGGGAAGTCCCAAAACGTTGGTTCTCTGAAAGGCACTGTTAAGGGAATGGAAAGCCAAAGACTAGGGAAAATATTTGCAAATCATATCTGATAAAGGACTTGTAAGCAAAATAAACAAAGAACTCTCAAACAAAAGATCCAAAACTTTCATTAGATTCTCAAAGGAATCTGAATCCTCCTGAAAATATTAACAACTATTGACTTATGCGCTCAGCTTGGAGAATTTCAGAGGTTGACCAACAGCCAAACCTGCAACTGGGAACTTAGAATCCTGCCCAAGCTTCCTGTATTGAGAGCTTGCCTTGTAACATGTCACCAAAGTTGCCATGATGTCTAATCCTAGATAACTCTCCAAAGATGACAATGATTCAAGTACTGGAGGGTAAGGGGCCGGTGACTTTATCCCAGCTTTACCTTGGGAGGGGGTGTCTTAGTTGGGCCACATTGCCTTTAGGTGCCTTTTTCCTCTTGCATTAGGCCTCACCAGATACGCAATGAGAGAATATCTACCGTTTCTACAGAATTTGTTTTACAAATAGCTTGTGCAGTGACAAATCAGAAATGAAGTCACCAGTCCTGATGCAGGGAATGAAGTTTATACATATTCTACTCTCATTTATCCAAGAAATATTTGTTGCCTGCCTACTCTAAGTCAAATATTTTGCTAGGGGCTGAAGATACAATGATGAGCAAGACAGTGATTTCTTCAAGGATATCAAAGTCTAATGGAGGAGATGAAAAAGTGAACAGGCAATTACAAAATGAATAAAGTGCTTTCAGTGGGATAATCCCAGGGAACACTGAACAGGAACACCTGATCCAGTCTCATGGGATCGGGAAAGGTTCCCTAGAACAAGTTAAGTATGAGACCTGAAGGATGAAGAGGAGTTGACCAGAGAGTGGAGAGAAAGAGATGCAGCTTGAAGAGCGTTGCAAGTACAGGGAAAGTGCAGAGAACTGAAGCTGACGAGGGCAGCAGAGGCCAGATCTTGATGACCTACATCACACTGTATGCTGCTGGCAATGGAAAGCATGAGAAAGGTTTGCACAGAAGAGTGGCATGAAGGGATTTGCCCTTCGGAAAGATCATTCTAGCTGCAGCAAGGGAGAATAGATGGAAGGGGCTTGAAAATAGATGAGACTCATTAAGAGGTTGTTTCAGTAAGCAGGATGTGGCTTGGTGATGGTCTGAATAACTGCAGCTAATTTTTTTTTTTTTTTTTTTTTTTTTTTTT